GTTAAAAAATATATTTTTTTAAAATCGGAGATCCCAATTTTTTTTTCGAGAATTCTTAAGAGTTGCCTTTTTGTGTATCCTCTCTACCCACAAAGCAGAGAAATCAGCGCTGCCCAAGAAAAAAATATCTCTTTCCAGTCAAATTTCTCTTTGCTTTTTTAAATCAATAACAAAACGGTGTTAAGTCATTATTTATGCAAATATTTTTCATCCATTTGGTTTATAAATTATTTTGGCAAACGATTAAATGCAATCGTAAAATAAAAAAAAAAAACAGAGTTTTAATTTTCTCTTAAATTATCTCTTATTTTTTGGCTCATGTTCTAGAACACGGTTTTGAGCAGGGCTGAGAGAAATTAAAAAAAATATCAACTAACATTGTGTCGAACTAGGTACATTTGTATACCTCCTTTCATTTATTAAAACATGTCTGCCTTTACAACAACTCGGAGCATCTATCCCTTCCATGAAAACGATAATCCTAAAATAAATACTAATTTCTAATGAATTCATGCTCAAGGTGAGTTTCAAGTTTCATTTCAGTGCAGTATTTAAAATGTATTAACAGGATTTAAATGAGACTTAGATAGAAGATTTCTTGAATAATTAAAAAGATTTAACTGGAATAAAAAATGTCGAATGATTTATAAGGCTAAATTGGTAATGTTGGAGTGTTCATTAAGTTTTAGAAAAACTAACTGAACACCAAATATGAAAGGAAAAACGTCCATCCGAAAAATTAAATTATATCCAAATTGGTTGGTTAAAAATTCATAAAGATTAGCGTTACCGTATTTCAAGCATATGTCAGAATCTGGAAAAATAAATGGAAAAAAGGTAATTTGGCTAAAAAATGCTACTAGGGTCTGTTATATCCCCAAAATTAGACTAAACAACGATAATGGGTTTCTATAAAGACGAGAGCCGATATTGAAAATTGTCCGTGTCGGGCAGTTTTTCATTCAACGAGAAACCAACGTGTCAAATTAAAGTTACCTCTATTACAGAATTGTACACAATAGTTGGCTAATTCCACTCTAAATTCCAAATTACAGCTGCTTGACAATTAAGAGGCACTCTTATATATACAGGGTGAGATTAAAAAACCATACAAAAGCATTTTGGTGAGAATTTTCCAGTAAAAAGTTATTCGTGATGGAATTCAAGAGTGATAGTGTGATTTCTTTATATTCGGTTGGAAAACCACAAGTGGCTATCGTTAGAGCACTCCAGCATTTAAATGTAAATAAATATTTTGTGTCTCGTACCATCGCTCTTTAAAGAACGGCCAGCTGAAAATGTGCACCTTCGGTGGCCACCAGAGCCACCACCAGCCGATGGTCGCTCTCCGCTCGTATTAATCGACTGTGGCATCAGAATAAGTGTCGAATATTATCGCGAAAATATTCTGGAGGGTGTATTAAAGCCTTGAGCACGCAAACATTTTGGCCACAGATCTTCCAACAGGACTCAGCACCATCGCACTCAGCACGCGCCACTCAAGAATGGTTGCAAAATAAGGTTCCTCGCTTCATTTTCAGCGCACAATGGCCACCAAAATCTCCGAATACCAATCCGATGGACTATTGTGTCTGGAGTATTTTGTAAAGCAAGGTTGCACTTCGCCGGAAATGGGCCAAAATACTGCAGAGCAACATTCGGGCAGCGTGTGACGGTTTCATTGGCCGTTTGAAGGCCATAATTCGTGCCAACGGTGACCAATTCGAACAAATCTAAACTTATTCTAAAATTTGATGCTATTTCCGACATTTTTAGCTTTCATTCAATAAAATTTTGAAAAAAATTAAAAATTATGGCGTTTGACTTTGTTGCCGTTTTTATCTAGCTCCGATAACACACACACAAATGCCTACATCAAATTTAGTGGAAATGGATTCAGAGCATGACTTACCTGTATATATTAGTTCCAGTTAGCCATAATAGGCATTCAAAAATAATCGTAGTTGGTACTACTTCATATAGACATGAAACGTTTAGTTGTTACGGGCCTACCCTACACCACAATGTATATTCTAATAAATCTACATAGTGGTGTAGGGTAACTTATTGTCGGCCCAGTCGAATTTTTCACCTTTCTTTACCAGGTTTTATTCATATATTTCTGGCATTAGGTAAGATTTAGAGTTTTTAAGTATTCGGAGACTTAGTAGAATTTTGTGATAAATGATATTGTAGAATATTTTAGCGAAAAATTTTGATAAATAACAGTAAAAAAGCAGTAAGTTCGGCCGGGACCTCCACCATCTGGAAAGAATATAGCAATTAAAAAAAAAGAATCCATTAAAAATTCGGTTAACATTTTAAAAATAATATTTATTAGGGTATATACGACGATGTGGACCTGAATAGGCAAATTTTATCATACGCCACTACAATATTCAAACGCAAAACTAAAAAATCGGCGAATAATGTAGCAAAACGTGGACCTGTACAGACACTTTTCTGTCATAGTAGCTGTAGTATCCATTACGAACTTCAAATCCCCAATTTGAATCAATTTCGGTGAATAATATATCGAATATCAGGAGGTATCGTTATATGGGGGCTATACGAAGACGTGGACCTGCACAGACAATTTTCTGTCTTAGGCTCTAGTATCCACTACGAACTTCAAATACCAAATTTGAAACAATTTCGGTGAATAATGTCGCTAAAATCGTCATAATACCGAATATCGGCAGGTACCGTTATATAGGGACTATACCAAAATGTGGACCTACATGGCCCATTTTCAAAACCAAAAGTCCTGCAGACATAATAAACATTTGAGTAAAATTTTAACAACCTGCTTCATTTCGTGCGGAAGCTAGAGCGATTTCCACGGACATCGCTAAATCGACATAGAATTTTATGCTGACCAAGAATATATATACTTTGTGGGGTCTAAAATGTATATTTCAAGGTGTTACAAACGAAAAGATAAACTTAACATACCCTCCATACCATGATGGAGGGTATAAAAAATAGCCAAAAGGAAGCCTTTGGTGACTCGCTAAAGGATAACAATTTATGACCAAAGATATCCTCGTATTGTTATTAGCAGTATTACCATAGGCACTATATACCTAAAATGCAAGGATTCCACTTAATCAGAACGTTTTTAAAAATGTGGAAACTGTGGGGACCTGCCTTCTCTATTTAGGATACTTTGCGTAGTAGATATCCCAAAATCTTATACAGAAGTCTCACATTTTTAGCTCTACTTTTATAAAATACTGAGTTTTTCCTGTAATTATTGTTTGTGTTGCACAGTGTAACTCTCGATATATATTTGGTTAAGGACACACATTTATATAAGTGGTAATAAAATTAAAATTTGGACTGGGAATAGAAAAACCCTCTCAAGTTGTGTTCAGCCTAAGTTTGGAAATAAAAAAAATTGTATTTAAAAATTAATTTTTTAGACCAGTAGTCGGCACTTTTAGAATTTTATATTTTTCAATCTTTCAACATTCTGAGTGAAATGTTTCAATTGCAGAAAAGTAAAGTTGTTCAGATTCCAAATTTTGTTTAGTTTTCGAAATAATAAACAACAATTGAATTTGTTTTTATTAAATTTGCAGAATTTGCAATTTTACTAAAATAGTAGTTTTTTGGCAGTAGTCGGCACCATTTTCCAATGCTCGGCATGTCTATTTGCCAGTAGTCGGCATATGGTATTTCAGTAAAAAAAATATTATTTGTACATTTTTTAATTTCAAATAGTATGCTATATTACTAATTCAAAGTTTAATCCAGAATTTGAAATTAATTTCGTTTATAAATAGTGTTTTATTTAATTATCATTCTAACTCAAATATAGGTAGAAAATCTAGAATAGTATGGTTACCTTCAGTAACGTATGGATTTTCAATTAAAATAAAAATGAGATTAAATAAAAATAGAAAAAAGTACCTTTCTTATATTTGGAATTTGTGAATTAATCTCTTTCTTTTAGATAGCCAACATTTTTTTTTTTCAAAAAATATCTAATTTAAAAACCTACTTAATTTAGAAAAGTTGGTCAAAAAGCACAAATAAAAGCAACTGCCGACTTAAAACAATTTTTTTATTTGAGTAGTTTTTGGATTATTTTTTAATAATTTTCTTAAGTTTTGCTGAAATTGGTCAAAAATTATATTTTTTCTGGTAATTGGGTGCCGACTACTGGCAAATCTCTTTTTTTCTATTCCTAATGTCGGCATTAAATAAATTAACAGAAAAAGGCTTGATTTGTATGTTTTTTTTAAGTTATAAAATGATCTTTAGACTGTAATTTACTATTATAAAATATTTCTGATTCCAAAAGTATTAAATTTAATTTACTTAAATCGATTATTAAATTGACTCCACCACTATTTTTTTCTTTACAAACGCATTGCAAGACACTCACTGACGAAAACCGTTATTCTCTCGTAATAAATGATGGGAGCTCATTGTTTTTTTTTACAGAAAGAGAGCAGAGAACACTGTTAACCTTTTTTTCAATTATTTCATTATTTGGTCAATTCTATTCTTAGTTATTGAAGTTTAAATTACAAAACTGCCGACTACTGGGACATGCCGAACTTAGGCGCACTTACCCTATAATGTTGACGCTTAATGGTGCATTTCTTATTTACTTATTGGCTTTTAAATTCGATTTAGGTATAGTTCATAAATTTAAACAGTCACAAACCATATTTGCACCTCTTTAAATCCCCACTCTTCTCAAATATAAAAATTCCTGAGAATTGTGTCAACTTTGAACCTGACTTATTTATTTTCTATGGCATGCAACGGGCCAAGTTTCATTCATTGTAGCAATAACTTTTGTTATGTGTGTGTGTGCGTTGGTGAAAACTAAAAACCTCTTATTGTGAAATATGTTGCCATTTTGGTTTTATTCTTTGTTTTGTTGCTGCTGTGATTTTATTTCCAAACAAACTTTTTCATATTTTCACATGGTTGACTTATTGTTGTTTTTGTTGTTATTATTACGTTTTGTTTTATCTTTACAGGCCCTGACAGCCAGTTCACCTTGGCAGCGTCGTTTATGTTTCGCTTTGCCATTTTCCATGCGATCGATTCTAATATTTTTCCGTACTCTGGGTCTGGTTGGCGGGAATCCGGTTGCAATGTCACACGTATACCTACAGGTAAGTTCACGTTAGAGCCCAACACCATCCAACATTCTGTTTTTTTTTTTCTATATTTTTCTGTTGAAATTTCCTTCCGTTCAAGGGGTAATTTTTGGAAAGGTACTTCGGCGTTTTGGCTTTTTTGCTTTTGTTATTATTAAATATACCCTGCCACCGCCTGAAGGCATGAAAGTGCCGCTGCCGTTACCGCCACTTTAACTGTAACTGCAAACTCAAATATTAACTGGAATTTATGGTGGAAAATAGGATTTTCAACCCAAAACCAAACAAACGGGGAAAAAAACCAAAGCAATTCACCGACGATTTACTTTTACAGCCAATCTTTCTGTTGGAGTGGCATTTAAAAATTTATGAAAACTGCAATACATGTTGTTGCTGTTACTGTCGTTTTGTTTGTTGCTGTTGTCGCAAGGCGATGTGTTTTATTATTATACCCTCCACTTTGAAAAAGAGGGTATATTAACTTTGTCATTCCGTTTGTAATATCCCTAGATATTCGTCGTAGACCCCATAATGTATATATATATATATATATATATATATATATATATATATATATTCATAATCAGCATAAAATTCTAAGACGATTTAACGATGTCCGTCTGTCTGTCCGTCTGTCTGTCTGTCTGTCTGTCTGTCCGTCTGCCTGTTGTAGTCACAATACAGCCCACATTATTTGACGTAGAGCATCAAAATTTAGCAGAATAATTTGTATTGTGTCTAGGATGGTTGGTATTGAAAATGAGATATATCGGTCCACGTTTTGGTATAGTCCCCATATAAAGGTACATTCCGATATTCGGTATTTTGATGATTTTTGCCACACTTTTTCACGGATTTGTCTGAAAATTGGTATTTGTAGGTCATAATGGGTCCTAGTTCCGATGGCGAAACTTTGCATTTATAGGTCCACGTTTTGGTATCGCCCCCATATAAACAACATTGTATGTATAGGTCCACGCTTTGGTATAGCCCCCATAAAAGGGTACCTCCCGATATTCGATATTTTTATGATTTATGCCAAATTTTTTCATGGATTTGTCTAAAAATTGCTATTTGTTGGTCATAATGGGTTCTAGCTCCGATGTCGAAACTTTACATATATAGGTCCACGTTTTAGTATAGCCCCCATATAAGGGTACCTCCCGAAATTCGGTATTTCGATAATTTTTGCCACACTTTTTCACGGATTTGTCTGAAAATTGGTATTTGTAGGTCATAATGGGTCCTAGTTCGTGCGCCGAAACATTGTATGTATAGGTCCACGCTTTGGTATAGCCTCCATATAACGGTATCTTCCGATATTCAGTAGTTTGATGGTTTTTTATTTCTTTTTTTACTTAATAAGTTCTAGCTGCGTTGGCGAAATATTGTATGCATAGGTCCACGCTTTTTGACGATTTTTGCTACATTTTCCCACGAATTTCTAAAAATTGGTATTTGTGGGTCATAATTGGTTTTAGTGTTTCCATTACCCTAAGTTGGAGGGTATTAAAAGTTCGGCCCGGCCGGACTTAATGTTTTTTTACTTGTTTTTCCTCTTTTTGGCAGGAAATTCTTTGATAGAGAGTGGAAAAAAGTATCGATGGCATAACTTTTGCCAACACCAATATTGTTGTTGGGTGTATGTTCCCTTTTGAAACAGCCTTGGGGCTTGACGTGACTGATATACTGGCAAATAATAAATGACGAAAAAAGCAACTGTCCATCTCCCCTGCCTCTCTCTCTCTCCTTCTTACTTTTATTTACGTTTTACGTAACATCAGATAGCAAATGGGAAAAATTTAATACGAAATTTATTGTTTGGCGTTCATTTATTGGCCTTGTCTCACGGATGCATGTCGTTGTCATTGTGTGCGGGCCTCAACGCTGCTGCAACAACAATTACAACAATGTCCATCATATTGATTGGAAATTTTTATTTTCATTGTACATAAAGTCCTGTAAAACTAAAGAGCTGATGACTCTGAAGATTTATTGGTCTTCCTCTAAAATGTAGGATCTACATGAATACCTGTTGACAGGAAGTTACCCAGAAATCATTTCCGGGATGTCCATCCAACAAAAAATTTAACTTAACCATGGAAAATATACAAATAATGTCAAAAAGTAGCCATTTCAAAGGGAGTTTCCCAAGTGTCACACCCTACGTATTCCCCTGCCTGTTGAACCTAGCCTCTGAAATACTATTGTATTTCCTTAAGAGATCAATGGGTCTTCTGAATATAAAACACCTGAACTGAATATGAATACCTTGTTGGTATCTTCTACAAAGACTTCTTGACTTAACTCTATATTTATTGCAAAAAACAACCCTTTGCAGAAGACCTTTTGGTACTCTTTTATCAGAAGGCCCAAAAGGCCTTTTAAAATACGAACCCCTTTGGAGTTGGACAATTTTCTATCTTAGGCTGTAGCATCCATTACGAACATCAAATACAAAATTTAAAACAATTCCGGTGAATAATGTCGCCAAAATCAACAAAGTACTTAATATCGGGAGATACCGGTATATGGGAGCTATACGAAGACGTGGACATGCACAGACAATTTTCTATTCTAGACTGTAGCACCCATTACGAACTTCAAATGCCAAATTTGAAATAATTCCGGTGAATAATATCGCTTAAATCATCAAAATACCGAATATCGGCAGATACCTTTATATGGGGGCTATACCAAAACGTGGACCTACATGGGCCGTGGACCAAAAGTCCTGCAAACATAATATACATTTTAGCAAAACGTTATCAATCTACTTCAATTCGTTCGGAGGCTAGAGTGATTTCCACAGACGGCCAGACGGACGGACATTGCTAAATCGACATAGGTTCTTATGCTGATCAAGAATTTAACCTTAATTTAACCTGCATACTATGGTGGAGGGTATAAAATACTAATATATCCGCTAAACCGCGAATATTTTTAATCCCGGCGAAATCACAAATACATTAAAAGGTCACTTCTGACCATTACAGTGACGCTGATAGCCAGGATATCGAATATTTAACGAAATAGGTTAAATCTATATGTAAATGAAATTGATATTTGCCGTTCCGCTTAGAAGTCAAAACCGCTGGAGGAATTCTAACAATTTTCAATGGCCTCTTTCGAACAAATTGAGATAGAAGGCTAAAATTTTGCACAAATGTATATTTTGCCAGTGGGCAGGTTAAGTTCGTAAATGTTATCATATAGCCCCCATATAACGGTACCTCCCGATATTCGGTATTTTGATGATTTTAGTTACATTATTCACCGGAATTGTTTCGAATTTGGCATTTGAAGTTCGTAATGGTTACTACAGCCTAAGACAGAAAATTATCTGTGCAGGTTCACGTCTTCGTATAGCCCCCATATAACGGAAATATTGTAATAACTTATGACAAAAGTTGCCTATGCAGGTCAACGTCGTCGTATAGGCATTCGGTATTTTTAAGATTTGAACAGAATTTTTAACGGATTTTATCTTTTTTTTTGGAAATTGCCAAATTTGTGCCAAATGGTGGAGGGTATTAAAAACTCGGCCCGGCCGAACTTACAGCTTTTTTACTTGTTTCAATTCGACTTACAATTTTGAAATATAAATTTTCAAAACTTTTCCACACCCATATAATTTGATAATATTCAACATGAGAAGAGAGTTATGGACAGGTAAGAAGCCTAGCATTTTCGATGACCATTGGATTATATTTGGCTGTAAAATGGACCACAACTTTTGTCGAATTTATTTCGAATACATAACAACACGGTGGAGCGCTTAAATATGCATTTCAGTAGTTCAAAAACGAAATCTTCCAAAATATATTTGGGCATAAGAGGGCTTCCAACATATTGTAGTGTTGTAGGGTATCACATGGTCAGCCCCTCACGACTGCAGCCTTTGCTTGCTAGTTTTAATTTATTTTTTAATTCCTACTCCTAAAAAACTATTATCCACAACTATTTGTGTGGTTTCTTTTTAAATTTATGTTATAATCCCGGGTGCCTCTTTCAGCGCAAACAATTTCAAAACTTTTTGAAAGATTTATTGAAAATATTTTTCCAATCGAAAAAAAAAGAGAAAATTAAGCTATAGTGCATGACTTGACTCGCGACGCTTTTGATTGAAAATTGTTGGATTTATTTATATGTTTGTTTGAATGAGTGAAAGTATTTTCTTTTTTCCTCTTCTTGCGCTCCATTGACAATGTGATAACTTGTTAAGCCTCTGAGGATTATTGGTCGTTAGAACTGCATATGGTGATGGGAGGAAGGGGATTGTGGTTGTGTTGGGGAAATATTGAGTGATGTTTTTGCGTTATGTTTCCTTTGGATTTAGTAAATCAATAAAATGAATGAAGCAAAGCAGTAATGACAGACTCAAGTATTTATTACTTGAGATTTTCGCTTTTTTTGCAAGAGAGGACGACGACGACGACCAGGCACGTGTATTGGTTTTAATTCTCGATGCTGGGGGGGAGTGGGTGTGTATGTATGCGCATATATACGTGAGGGTAATCCATGAATTTATTTATAAGCTGACACAACAAATAGTCATATATATTTTTTTGAGTCAAGCAAGGAAATGGGTTGTAATATGTTTGGGAATTTTACAGAAACGTGTTTATAAACATAAAAGAGAATTCACACATATTGAAATTTCAATAAAGGATGCTGTGTGGAAGATTTTAATACGAATGGATTGACAGCAATTAATCATAACTTGAAATTAATTTATAGTTCTTTAAAAAAATGAAGACGAAGGTTTTATTTATGGAAGATCTGAGAAAGATGGTGATTTTTATTAACAATTTTTGATTTATAATGCGGTAGTTTTATAACTAAATGACCTAGAATCTTGCATTTTTTGCACAAGAATGAACCTTGGATTTTGGAAGCTCGTACTAGAAGCGTTCGAAAAGTACTAAAATATACTAAAAATTGAATTGAGCAAACGGAATGAACTAGAATCCTGAAATTTGGAAAAAGAGTCACTGACGGAGTACAGGGAAGAT